GAGGCCGATGGGTTTCATTCCTCACCCCTGGGTCTCCCCGACATCCTGCCCACACTCACTCTTCCATCCCGAAAGCCACACTCAAAGCGGTAGGTTCCTTTCATGCCCGACAGATTCTCTTAGATATTTCCAATTTGCCAAAAGAACAATCAAAAATATTTCACACCAACAGCTAAATAATGAGGTGCTTTTCGAATGAGGGATCCATGGAGAAGATCTAGAAGGAAAATAGAAAGCATTCGCAGGAATATTACAATAAAACCTGTGAGGAGGGCTGCGGATTTAGCTTAATGGTTCCCCCGCCTGCCCTGCAAGCACAAGGTCCTGAGTTTAATCCCGGTACCAGGAAAAAAAAAAAAAAAAAGTGTGAGAAGCCAAGGATGTTCTACGCAATTCAGGCTTTGGACTAGGATTATTTAGGGTTTGAAGCCCAGCTTTGCTTTTTACTGTCTGTGTAACCTGGAGCAACCTCTAGGCATCATGGTTTCTTAGCTGTTAGATGGGGTAGCAATGCCCAGCCGAAAGAGGGTGGCAGGAATCAGTAAGATGAGTTAAAGAAAGCCTGATCCATACAGGACAGCACACAGGGGCCCAGCCACTGACTGCTGTTTTTTCTACGCATCCACATAACCATGTACAGACACACAGACACCCCAAACACACACTGCCATATACACAACAGCTGATTCTGAGACCAGGGAGAGTTTCTCAGCTGAGCCCTGGAGCTTTCATGAACAAGCATCTTTATGGGCTCCCAAGCCATGAACGGATGCCAAGAAAAGAGCTGGAAAAATGGCACATGGCCCAGTTGAAATGAAATGCTCAGAATTTTCGTCCCAGTTACTCTTAACCCCAGATGGGGCCGGGTAATATTTAAAAGGTTTGCTTCTAAGGAGGCAAGGTGGGGAAGAAGGATGAGAGGTGCACGGCTCCCGAGGCGAGAGGTGGGGTGGGAGAGAGCTCCAACAGCCGTCTGGGTGGGGCTGCGCTGTCAAAGGCCCAGAGTGAGTTTATCTCTCCCCACACCCGAGAGAAGAGCCCAGGATGGTCCGCACAGGACAGCTCAAATGCGGGCAGCGGGCAGAGGGGGGGACCAGGAGCTGCCTATATTCCTCCAACCCACAGGTTCGCTCTGCTGTTTGGAGTGAGCACGACCTGGTGACACTGACTCAAATGAGGCCACCTCTGATTTCCTTCCTGCGGCCACTTCCAACCAGTGACGTCTCAGGGCTCTGTCCCTAGGGCGCTGTTCTCCAGCTCTCATTCAGCTCTCATATTGGAGTCTTCCGTTTAGCCAACTTGAGTCTCACAGACTGCAGAGCCAGGCCTGTGCTGGGTGCCCCTCCGCACCCACCGGGAAGGCAGGCTTACACCGGACTTGAACCCGCACTCCTCTTAACAAATGCGCTTTAGAAATGGCCAGTGGCTCTAGCAGGAAACACATCACAAGGAGAGTTTAGGATTTAAAATGGCTTCAGTGTGATTTTATAAGACAGATGGGGAGAGGCATTTTTAGCTAAGGAGAGCAGAGGCCTCGTCTTCCAAAGGGAACTTCCAGCTTTGCACTGGCATGGGGACGGGTGACCTGCTCTGGTGCTCCGCCCCCCGCCCCCTGCCCCCTGCTGGGGACTGAACCCAGGGCCTCCTGCAGGCCAGAGCCATACCGCAGCCCAGCCCCGCAGCCTTGCTTTCCCCTCCCTTTGCCTTGTTCCCAGGGAAGTAGCAGAACAAGCCAGCCCCCAGTTTTCAAGCTCCAGATAATGAACTGCTCAAACAATAGACCAAAGAGAAAAGAAAACCAGGTCTCCAAATTCAATTCAGTCAGTCTCTGATAAAGATTCTCTCCCCTGCTTGACTGAAACACACGCACACATGTGACACCAGACACTTTCATGTAAAATGTTTACAGGATGGGACACAAGCAAGGTGGCAGGTGGCAGTCAAAATGCATCATCAGGCAGGAGAGGGACCTTGCCAAAGCACAAGCACACTCCTGAGCAGCTTGGCTCATAGCAGCCCATGGTCACAGTCACCAAGAGTTCCCTGATGACTTACGCGCACACAATTGCAGAGAGAAGGCACAGAGAAAGTCCTCACCCAACGTCACCTGGAACTCCTACCTAAGGGACAGAGCATGGGACTCTTGCGTGCCTGAAGACAGCAGGAGAGAGAGGCCTGGGCCTGGGAGCTTCTGATCAAAGAGGCTCTGTGCGTGGGGAGAGCCCGTTCAGTCTCCGGGCACAGGGATCCAGGTCACCGAGAGCAGCTCCGGGAACCACTGTCACCAGCTGTGTCACTGAGGTTCGTTATTTTGTCTCCTCAGCCTTCAGTTCTTCTGACAAATGAATATTAAAGCTATTGTCCCCCTGTTGTTCACAGGTTGCAATTAAGTGGGAAACTCAAAAGTCACCGGCACCAGAGGGAAATGAAGTGCTCCTCCTGTGAGCACCAGGAACAGGGCAGGCACTTAGCCACCTGCTGCACACACCCTCCTACGCTCAGGGTCACTCTCAACACTCACGTGCAGAAGCCAGAGCTCAGAGAGGCTGGGCGGCTCTCCCAGGGGCGCATCTGCCAAGCCGGAGGCAGTGCAGGTGGGCTCCCCTCCAGCACAAGCAAGATTCTCCATGCAAAACACAACTCTACTGCGATCAGCCGCAGTGAGGTGTTATCAGCCCCCAAGTCTGAGTTTCCTGAGAACGAACTGCTTGCCAGACTCCTCTGACTCCTTAATTCACTTTTGTCTTAAAAACCCCTGCACTGGAGAACCATTTCTCCCAAACTCAAAAGACAGATGCTGGGAGGACAGGGAAGCAGCGCCCCGCTGTGCATGGCAGGAAGAGGAGCGCAGGTCTGGCAAAGATGGGTCACGGCCGCGGACATAAAACAAAGCCAGAGAGGGTGCTCACGGCCAGGACGGCAGGGGAGGCAGATTCCTTGCCCTTAAAAGCCAATGCCAAAAGGGAAGCCACCCAGGTGGTGGCACAAATCCAGCCTTGGAACTTCAGAGGAGCCACCCAGTAGGGAAAGCATATATTCAGTGGCCTCCCTGGATGGCAAAGTAAATGGTAAGTGTCTGCCCTGAAAAGACAGAAGGAAAGAAAGGACTGCCTGTCACATGCAGAGCAGGAAGAGAAATCCAGGAACACACTATTCTAATTTGGATCCCGCAGCTTTCTCCATGTGACTTGTCAGCCGACAAGACAGGAGGCCTTCTTTCGGGGTGCTGAGCCTCACCTGACTCCATTTCATCATCCAGCCACGTTCATGTCTGCAGAACACGGTGGTTCTGGATCCTATACTTCATTCTGTGAAGCCTGTCACTTCAGGGGAGCGTTGCTCTGAGAGGGAGGTGACCCGGAGACAGCCCTCTATGCCGGCACAGCCTCTCGGCAGGCCAGCCCATGAGAACACTGCTTTTCCAAGGTACTGCTTCATGTTCAGCAACACCACAGACAATGACGGTGACAAAAAAGAAACAGGGCCCATGCCAACAATGCCGACAGATAACACTTCCCAGGCCTTTGCTGTGTGGTCGCACCTGGTCATCTCCTGTTCAGCTCATCAAATGCCCACACTGACCACCCTGCCCACAGGTCCCGGTACAGACAGGAATCCACCCTCAGAGATGTAGCTTTGTGCAGCTTCGGCTCGTGGAGTCTGAGCCCTGGAAAAACATTGTCTCCTCTGACTCCCCTGTCCTGAAGCCTCCATGGGCCTCACCCTTCCTGTGCCTCTAACCTGTCCCCCACGCTGCATGGGCCTCTACAAACAGGTCATTTCACACGTGCTCTTTCACCATTTCTGATGCCCATGGCACTACGCACTCAATGCCCGATGGAGCTGATGTGTTTTAATTTTCACGTTAAAAAAAGAATCCCCAAGGGGAAAGGGCATTTGATGGAAAGGCAAAACCTTTATAAGCACTCAAGGAGGCATTAAAATCCAAATTTCCAGAACATGGTAATTCTGTCACAGTTGTGACTCACTGGAGCCCAGGGACCATTACCCCAACCCCCCAATCTGAGAAAACCACGGCAGGCAGTCGGCCTTCGGGGGCCAAGGGGAGAGCAGCCAGCGTGGCCTCTAGCAAGGAAGCCGGGCTGCCCCATTTACAGGCACAGCAGCCGCAGGCATGGCAGTTCCCGTCTGCAAACATGCGGCACAGGGGAGGCCTCCCGACTGTGTCCTGGACACACGCACACTGGAAGCAGAACTCTTTCTGTACCCGGTTATGCCGGAGCCACGATGGACAGGTGAGAGGCATGGAATCCACCACAGAGCATTTGCTCCTGACTGGCTCGGCCCTGGCCAGATGACTTACAGTTCACAGAGGTCCTCCTGGGGCCCAGCATAGGCCAAGGTGGCACAGCAAAGAGCAACAGAGTGAAAAGCAAGACCTCCATGGCAGACTGGTAATGCCACGATCATTTCTGGGAGACCCTAATCTATGAAAACTCCATCAGAAAGCCCAGGGTAGAATAGACCAGATGACGTGTTTCAGAGGCTACGCAGGCAGATTCTGAGGCGCACCACTTCTCACCGCAAGCACTGGCTAAAATTAAACCTGAATAACATGAGAGCCATTTCTTCCTGGGAAGTCTCAGCTGAGCACTGCTGCCTGGCGCTTCCGATGTTCCTGACATCATGTGCTGAGTCGAGAGGGTTCATCAACACTGCCAGGTGTTTGGGTTTTTAACCCTCTCCCCCATTATTATCATTATCATTATTATTATTATTAAGAAAGGTGCACTTTTAAGTAAATCTTACTTCATAAGCACCAAGATTTACGCATTTCTTTGGGACATCTTATTCCGTGACATTTCAGTTTGGAATCCAACTTTCCAGTAAGCAAAAGGAAGGCGAAAGGGGCTAGACCACCAGAAACACCACCTGCCCAGAAAACATCCCCCTCTCTCCCCAGACCCTACATGTTTTCTCATCTTCTCTAGAAAATGCATTGCCATTCAATTTGCGAATCGAAGCCAGTTTCTACCCACCTCCAGCGAAGATGGAGATGCCGGGTTTCCGAGGAAGCATCCCCCAGGCCCTGGAGCTTGTCAGTTGCCCCCGTTCACTTTCTCCCTGGGTCTGGTTTCTAAGAACGCCAGCAGGACCTCAGGCAACCGACGCATCTTCTCTCCTGATGCCTTTGCAAATCTGAGCCCTCCTGACGGCAGCAGCAGCTCAAGCCCAGGCAGCTCCGCACTTCGTCACCACTGCCGGTCCAGATCCGGCTGGGCACCCGGGAGCCCAGGACAGCGTGACTTCTGCCCTTCTCCTGCGTCCGCCAGAGCTCTGCGGCCACCTTCTGGAGAACCCTGATTTCCTCTGAACTCTCCTCGTCACTACGGTCTAAAGGAAGTCAGACCCGGCCTCAGCGTCACCACCCAGTCCTGAGCCAGACCGGGAAGACCAGTGAGCTGGGCGCACAGTCCAAGCCACCGAGCCAGGAAACGTGCGGCTCGGCCAAAAATAATAATAATCGTCGGCGGCAGCGGAGCGGCTGGTGGTGCCAGAGAAGTCGCTGTTGCAGTGCCTGCATCCTCCGCATGCTAATAAGGCCGTGATGTCAGCAAGTCAGTCACCGCATCTGGACGGCCCACCTCACGGCCGGCTCAGATTTATTTACATGTAAATTAGCCTCGCCTTCCAAATCAGTAAGCCCCAAGCCAGGGAGAGGGGAGAAAGCCTTCCGGAGGCAGAGGTGCAGCTATGCAGCCTCGGAGAGTGCAGAAGAAATCCCGAATCAGAAGAGAAGCTTTTTCCAAAACGGCTCTGGTGTACCAGGGCTCAGAGCTGGGCACACTCGTCGACCTGAGCGCGTCTCAGATTCCATGCCGTGCAGAGGCGGCGCATTCAGAGTCAAAAGCCACACTGAGCCTTCAAGTGCTGCACTTCATTTTCCCTCCCTTCCCTCTAACTTTCATGTCGAGCCATCCTTTATCTGTCGGCCTGGGACTGTGATACCTTTGAATTGTGGTGTGCTCTGGAATAAAACACACTGATGCTTCCCTCACCAGCTAGGACGGAGAATTAGGCCCTTCCCTCTCACCTGAGTCCAGAGCGAGCAGCTCAGGGAGAAACCTGCCCAGCAGAATCTGAGGACGCTTAGGCCCTCAGGGAGCTCTGACTCCGCACCCTCATTTGTCAGGTGGGAGACCAGAGGCTGGAGGGAAAAGAACTCCTCCAAGGCCACACTGGGACTCCAGAATCCAAGGACCAACAACCAGAGCTTCCTTCACCCCTCTGGGGCTGGAATCTCCATTTTCTGTGCCACAAAGAGGCCTATTCCAGGATTTAGGAAGAGAGAACTAAATAGAGTTGGAGAGCTCTGGGTTGGAATCCCAGCTTTACTTCTCGCTAGCAAAGTGACTTCAGTCAAGTGACTTAACTTAGGGGTCTTCAGTGGCCCTGCCTGAGCCAATCACTCAGGATGTAAGTATTTAAAAGCTTAGACTCCGGGTTACAGGGTTCTAGGGTCTGGGTGTTGCTCTGCTCCCTCCCACTGCTGTGTACTAAGACTGTGCCAGAGAAAGTGCAAATATCCAGTAGAACTATGGTGCAGATTCACATAACGTCACACACATGTAAGAGTTGTTTCTGATATTTTGCATGAAGTCAGAAAAATTCGCTGAGGTGTTCTGTCCGCTAGGATGGCCACTGGTTCTCTCCTGTGAGTATTTCTCAGTCATCTTCCACTACTAACATAAATCCCTCTTCCCTGTTGCCTGTCTCTTAAACCAGGGGAAGCAGCTTGGGCCCGAGGTGGTGCCTGGGTGGGGGGAAGCGCCAGTCACAGGGGAGGTGACAGGGACTGAGGAGGGGCTGGAAGGCCAAGAGCGGCTCTGGACAAAGCAGCCAGCCAGTGCCTTGCCCGCCCGCCCTCCTGAGAGCCCACTCTGAGGAGAAGCTCTGCCCGTTCAGCTGGAGCGCCTGAAGCTTCAAATGAGTTTCTTTGTTGGATGTGGAGAAGTTAAATTATGTCTTTTGTTATATGTAATTATATTAATAATGCTTAATAATTTCTTTCAGAATGCTTCTCTCCGGTTCAGAGAAGACTTTTCATGGAGAGAATCGTGGAACCCAGAATCACTTTTCACCAAGAGAAATGGAACGAGAGTGAATGAGTCACCCCCTGCCTTAGGTCTCTGTCACACGGAACCCCCAATCCCCGCAGCCTTCAAACAGCCAGTTAATAAACCGAACAGTTTGGGGCCACCAATGAGCAAGAGCAAACGGTGACCTTCTACCCTAGTGTGGCGTGCCACATCACTCCGACTTCCTGTGCCCCAGTTTTGTATCTGAAGATGGGGACCTACTCTCCGGTCTACTCAGCAGTGGATCATACGAGATTATGCAAAGCCATTCACGAGCGATTGATAATGAAGCACTGGACAGGAAAGCTGGAGCGTGGGAAGTGACAGGAGATTCATCTTCACCTGGAACAGATCTGACGCACAACCGCCAGCTTCACAGCATGAACAGTGCACTGGGGTCTGGGTGGCTGGTCAGGCACATGCTGGCTGTGTATGACCTGGGGCCCAAGCATCTCACCCGTAACACAGAGCTTATGGCTTCTATCAGATGCCCCCAGAGCCTCTGCACTCAGGCTTTTGGAAGGAGATTGCATGAGGGGGCTCAGAGCTGACTGCTGTCAGCAGGTGAGGTCTGGTCAGAAGACGGGGTTTCTGGGGTGTGGGCTGCAAGAGCCCATCCCCCTTCCCAGCTCCTCTTGGGCTCTGCTTCCGGCCCACCACACCCTAAGCAGCTCTCCTCCGCATGCTGTTCTGCCCTGCACCCAGCCCGCTACGGACTGAACTGAGCCACAATAAACCTTCCTCCCTCAAACTGCAGGTATGGGTATTTTGTCCCAGCTATGAGGACAACGACTATGACCCAGGGAATACTAACAGTTTGGGGCTCACAGGGTCTTTGGGCAGAGTCAAACGTGAGGCCTTTAGAACAGAACCTAGCACACAGTAAACAATAAATGTTTGCTATTGGTGGAAGAAATGATACTTCCACCAGTCGCTTCAGCACTACTCAGTTCAAAAGGTGGCAGGAAGTGGGTAAAGAGAAGACTGCAAGACCATCCCTTCTACCAGGGCACAACACCAAGCTCTGGCTGACGTGGGAGAGCCGCTGTGCGCCCTTTTCTAGATGGCACAACACACTGCACAACTGCCATGAAACTAGGAACGGAAGCAGGAAAACAACCGAGAGGCACTGGGGGCCTGCCTCTGACAGTGTCCCCAGGGCAGGACGACTGCCAGTGCTCCTTGACTTGCAGTGGGGTGACATCCCAATAGACTGTCACCAACTGAAAACACCACGAGGCTGCAGATCGCTCTGACAGACATGCTTAGCAACACTGTGGGTCCTGTGATGATGGCAACTGGGGTGGCTGCTCGCTGCTGCTGCTCATCACAGAGAGGATCAGACTGTGCCTCACCAACCTGGGAGAACCTCAGAATTCTACATGTGGTTTCTGCTGAAGGCATGTGGCTTTCACGGCACTGCAAAGGTGAAAGCCATACTGAATCCACTTTAAGTCAGGACTGGGGTGCACGGATGCATCCTCTCTCCATGCATCCACTCCCTCAGCAGATGGGCTCCCACGGATCGTCAGCCTCTGTGGTAGGCCTGGGAGGCATGGTGATCTGTGACGGTTTATATCTAGATGTCCTCATGCGCTCGCAGCAGGGACGCTCGGGAGGTGCCCGGATCACGGGTGTGTGGCACTGGATCAGTCCACTGATGGGTTTACAGCTGGGCGTGATGTGGAGAGCTGAGGCCCAGTGGAAGAGCTCTTTCCCCTCTGCCAGGCCGCCCTGCTTGGGAGCAGCCAACTATGGACTGGAACCCCTCAGACTGTGAGCCAAATAAACCTCTCTCCTTCAACCAGTGGGTGTCAGGTATTTTGGCCCAGAAACGAGAAAGTAAAAAGACAATGACCAAGACAGACACAGGTCCAGCTTTAAAAGAGTTTGGCATGGCGGAAGAAGACAGTGATGGAATCGGAGTGGGACGTGATGTGCATCACGACAGCGTGAAAGCCTGAGAGGTCTAACTGCAGCTGGGAGGCCTGCTGTGGAAGGAGGTGGGGCATCTGGATGGCACGCCTGCACAGAGTATGAAAATAATGAAATCCACAGATTGATAATTCCCTGGGGCGATTATTTTCATTCTGGAAGTCATTCTACTGGGAATTTTTGGAAAATGTGTTGTTAGGTATTCAACAAGGTGGCATGACAGGTATTTTGGAAATTTTCAGGACCTGATAAACAGGGACAAAACTTTAACTGTGTTTATAAACACAGAGCAAAATTCCACATTCATGAGAGCAAACTCCATGGGGCTCAGGAAGGGGATGAACAGGCGATACCAGATACACAGAAGGCACCCCAGAAAGCATTTATCAGAGATCTGTGACACAGAGCACACTCTGGTTGGGACACAAGCCAGCGATGGGACATTTGCATCAGTGACCATAACTACTCAGAGTACACAGGCAGGCAGAAGGACAAGGAGGACAAGGGTGTGACCGCTTGTGGTTAAGGTGATGCGAGTGCGGAGTCAGGTCCCAGTCAAAAGTAATCTTACTCTTTTGGAATTAAGGGTAACATTTTTTTTTATAGGGAAGGTCTTCCTAAGCATGACACAAACTTCACAAGCTATAAATAGAAAGACTGCTAAAACTGCCAAGGTCACATTTTAGCAGCTAGAGAGGGAGTTCTAAGCAGGGGGAGGAGCACGAATGGGGAGAAGGTATCAGCACAAACCTGAAACTGAAAGACCTCTCTGGGAGGGCAGGAAATCATGGAGTGGCACCAGCAAGTCTGTGGCCCATGGTGGCTAAGAGGCTGCTCCATGCATGCTGGAAAACCCAATCCCCCCACTCCGGATGGCATTAGCCAGCGTCTTGTTAGAGGATTACGGGGAGAGGGGAGTGAATCTGCTTACAGGGAGAAAGGCAGGTGACGACAGGACCATGACCTCCTGGCAGAAAGGCTTTGTGAGGAAGGGTGTAAGGAACAATTCTTAAATCTCCATTTCCATAGGCATAAAATAAGAAGAAATTAATTTTCTGAAGAGGGACTTCACTTGGATCTATGGAAGACTTTTGAATCGGAGATGACTAAGGACTGGTTCCAGTTACGCATAAAAAAGAGTGTTTTGGATTTTGGAGAACTTCAGGAAGATAAGCGCAGAGCCATCCTGGGTGGTTCACGTCAGGACCTTCTGGCCTTGCTAGTGCAAATGCTAACTAGGGTAACAGACGGGAGCGAAGGTTCGAACTACTCATTTAATAAGGTTCACTTGAATTTATTTTATTTGAAAAGTGAGTGTGTATGTAGTTTTAAGCAGTCTACTCAGGAGTGGGTCTCTGACATTTAGATTTGAAAATCCAGTAAAGTGAATGTGGGTGGGAGGCTGACAGGGCCGGGAGACTCGCTGACGACACGGACACAAAGTCCCCGACCTCAGGCCTCCGTGCCCTCCCTCGCCAGGGTGGTCAGACCTCCAGAGGCTCTCCAGGGACCTCCTGGAAGAGAAGAGAGGAGCTCCAGAAACTGCCACTGCGGCCAGTTTCCCTTTCTGCTACGGAAAAACAATTTTTAAAATCCACACTCTATTAAACCCCCAGTGTCCTAAAACAAAGGGATATTTAACATCCAAAAGACCCCGGTCTTAGTCCTGAATGAGTACTAAGATCAAAGTTGCATCTGTTCTCCCTCAAGAGGGA